CCACCATGCCCAGCTGATTTTTTGTATTTTTAGTAGAGACGGGGTTTCACCATGTTGACCAGGATGGTCTCGATCTCTTGACCTCGTGATCCACCCGCCTCGGCCTCCCAAAGTACTGGGATTACAGGCGTGAGCCACCGCGCCCGGCCTAATGCAGTATTTATTTTGGCATGTATTAAAACTAAATTTTTCGCTATTGAATTACCCTTCTGAACAATTCCATTGTTTTCCTTTTTTTATCTTAGTCTTATTTATTTATTTCTTTTTTGAGATGGAGTCTTGCACTGTCGCCCAGGCTGGAGTGCAGTGGCGCAATCTCCATTCACTGCAACCCCTACCTCCTGGGTTCAAGTGATTCTCCTGGCTCAGCCTCCCAAGTAGCTGGAATTACAGGCAGCCACCACCACACCCAGCTAATTTTTTGTATTTTTACTAGAGATGGGGTTTCATTATGTTGGCCAGGCTGGTCTTGAACTCCTGACCTCGTGATCTGCCTGCTTTGGCTTTCCAGAGTGCTGGGATCACAGGCATGAGCCACCGTGCCTGGCCCACCCCCTGCCCCCCTTTTTATTTTTTGAGACAAGAGTTTCGCTCTTGTTGCCCAGGCTAGAGTGCAGTGGGGGGATCTTGGCTTATGACAACCTCTGCCTCCTGAGTTCAAGTGATTATCCTGCCTCAGGCTCCTGAGTAGCTGGGATTGCAGGCATGTACCACCAAACCTGGCTAATTTTGTATTTTTAGTAGAAGTGGGTTTTCTCCATGTTGGTCAGGCTGATCTTGAACACCTGACCTCAGTTGATCCCCCCGCCTTGGCCTCCCAAAGTTCTGGGATTATAGGCATGAGCCACCGCACCCGGCCTTTAGTATTTTTTGACATAAAATTGGGAATAATTAATTGATAAGTAATGATAAATAATAATGAAATATTCCTGGGATGATAAAATACAAAAATGTTTCAAAGTATAGGAAAATAAAATTTCTGAGATCCTGTAACATACCTTAGATTTGTTAGAAAGTCCAGTGGATCCGATGCTAATTGCAAGATAATAAATTTTAGTCTGCTTTTCTAAAATTACATTTTCTTTGTTATTCATAAGACCTCTGAGAAAGAATAAAAATCATGAAATAGCAATCTTTCAAATAGGTAAAACTGCTCAGAAAGAAACTGAAAAACTGAAATTTGTTGTAGTGGATCCTGGTGGTTACGTAAAAGTTTAACTCATTGAAAGAAGTTAAGGGTGAAAAGTGGAGTGGGATAGACAGGGAGCTTAAGGTGAATGTTGGTAGAAATACAAGATGTGTATATGTGAGCACTGAATTAAGTAGAAAATTATCTTGCTTTGTTGCTAAGGATTCTTTTGTTAATTGCACCACTTTAAAGGCTTAAGCCAAGGTTCTACTTCAGTCACATTTGTTTGATTTGCTGTGAAAGAGTATGTTTATTTACTGACTTTTTGGTCAATATTGTGGTATAGAATAGGTCTTTGGCTAGTAGAAGACCGCTTTTTTTTTTCTAACTTTAGCTTTGATTTATTTCTAAACTTTGAAAATGTCCTTTGTCCTTGGAGAACCTATTTAGTCATAAATTAAGAGACTTGGAACTCTTCTTTAATGAATTTTTTGGCTCTTAATTTTTGCACTGCTTTCTTTTCTTCTGTTTTAGTTAAATGTCATTACTTGTAAAAGTAATAGTTTAAACTCCCTTGTAAACAAATCCCTATTCTAATTGGTTTGATGTTATTTGAACATGATAGAAGTCATGATCTTGCTTTCAAATTGTTTTATTTTAAACGAATATGGAGACACGAGAATAAAATGAAAAAGATTTCAAATTGTAGCCAAGATCACTTCACTTATATAAAATTATAGTTTTATAATTGAAGTAAACTGTACTCACAGCTCTTAGTTTAGAAAAATCATATGTACTAAGGTGACTTAAATTCAGTACTTCATGAGGCCAATAAGCTGTTTGCCTTTTGATAGGTAAGGATGCCTAGTGATTTCTAGTCATGGAGCTTCTAAAATCCTGTCTTAACATCCAGATTGATGGTACCACAATACCTAAAATCTAAGTTCAGTGATAGCTGTTACCTCCTGTGTTCTCTTGTTTAATACCATTAAATTTCTTAAACTTACTTGAATTGTTTGTAGTCTTCATAAACTGGTACCGTGTAATATATGTCTTTGTATTCTTTACAGAATTTTTTTTATTTTTATAATCTCATGTATTGCCTTGACAGTTCTCAAATGTGGGTAGATACTTGTATTCCTTTTAGGGAGGCTGAAACTCAGAGTTCACATAACTTACTGACAATCACAGAGTTTGTAACAAGAGAAAAGTTTTATCTTTTTCTCTTAATTATTCCCAGCTTGTGATCTGAGATACCTGCAAAATCATGTTTTAGATTTTATCCACAAAGTCATTTCCCTCTATAAGTTTTCTCATTTCTCAGTTAAAACTGTAGTACTCTGTCTTCCTCCATACTACATCAAATCCACACGCATGAAGTTATGTGTAGGTATTTTATTATAGGTAATCTAGGGGTGATTTAAAGCATATGGGAGGATGTGTGTAGGTTATATGCAAATACTATGTCATTTAATATAAGTGACTTTAGCACCTGAGGATTTTGGTATCCTTAGGGGTGTCCTAGAATCAGTTCCCCATGGATACTGAGAGTGGGCTGTATATGTAATTGCTAATCAGAGTTGTAGCAACTAAGTGTTATATCAAGTTATTCCAATTTTCTTCCTATGTGGAGGGGGCTGGGGCATTGGGGCAGTGTTCCAATTTTAAATATTTTAATAATTAGATTTCATTGCCTAACTTTTATTAGAATTTTTGAAATATTTTACATATTTCACAGTAATTCCTATTACTTTGTGAATTCTGAGAGAAGGAAATTGGGGAAGACTCATATTAAGAATGGTTTTGCTAGATCAGTGATTTCAGTATTGGTATTTGAGCTTTGTGTTCCCTTTATACATGTAAGATATGACCATA